ATGTAGAATGGGAATATTTCTGAAATCACTAACATTTTCACAGAATAGGAAAACTGTTTCCTATACAACGTTAATTTGGATATATAACATGCCTCTTTTTAGTTAATAAAAACTAAATTTTTTAAAGTGAAAGTGTACTGGAGCTTGGGGTGAAATATCATGAAATGCAATGCACTAGAGAGAGGAAAAAAAAAAAATCAGAAAAGCATTAATTCCATATATAAACTTATCTTTCTCTGAACAGCTTGAACATATCATTACTACCCAACTCCTCTAAAAGATAAGCGTGAACTGAAATTGCCATCTCTCTATGTACAACAGCCAGCTTTACTTTTGAGAATCTGACTGAATTATTTGTCCCTTATACTATGGTCAGTAATATGAAAGCTTCAGTACTAAGAATACAAAATGGCCATATAGCAAATATTTTAGTTATTTCTACAGAATTTACCTGTGACTTCCTGTTTTCACACATGCATGATGCCCAACTGTGTTAGCCATGTGCTTTCAACAAGCAATGCAGCTTGTTTCACTACAATATTCTATTGCCAAACACACTTTTTGAAGATTCACTATTATAACAGAGATGGGCCAAATGACAGACTGGTCACTGAAAGATGGAAAATAAAAATGTCAGCTGTGTCTTGCATATTGCCAATTCTACATTAGACCCTTGGGCAGGATCCTACCTCAGTCACTAGATATGCCAGACACTTTAGAAGTACAAGACTCTATATTGGGTTTATGGCATACCCTGTTCAAAGTTTGTTTACAATCCCTATTGGTAAGTGTTGGGGGGGGGGAACCTGGAGCAGGCCAAGACTGGAGGGAAGTGTGGGGGTGCAAGTTGCAAAGGAGGCAGCAAGGCTGCAGGGAGAAGAAGTGGGGAAGGGCAGATGGCAAGGGGGCCGCCTGACCACCCCCTCACCACTGCTTTCCCTGCTTCATGAGGGGAGAGCACAAATTCAAGACAACCCTCCAATAATTAGATTCTTCACCTGGAAAATTATAATAAATCTATAAATTTTCCATGTATACAATCTAATTATTGCAAGGGGGGAGGGGGAAGAGTACTAAAATTCAGGGTCAACTCAAATTCAAGTAAATATAGTATTAATTTCTGCTAGGCTCTAGATTATAACAATGTTAGATAGTGATGACTGGCACTGGTTAATTATGTAATACCTTGAGGAAGACAAGTCTGAACACATGAACATCTTTTACCTACCAGATCTATTTAAAATTCTCCTTGTGCTAAACTGAAGGCCTCTGGTTACTTGTTAGACACAAAATAAGGGATTTAGAGCAAGTCATCTGCATAAAAATGACTTGGGAAAGAATTTTATACCTTCCTTGACCTTTCTCTAATCCCAGTTTTAAAACTGTTCCTAGCAGGAGGGAAAATATACAAGTCCAAGACCCAGTTCTACCCCAAGCCTAGAAGGCCAGCAGGGGTTAGATATATCAATGTTTCTGCACAAGGGCATTAATGGGAGCGTATGGCTAGCACCACAACCAGATACCTTTGATTCCCTTACCTCAGGGCTCTCCAAATTCTAAGTGGCCAGGGGCCACACACTCCTTGGGCAACAGGATCAGATCCATGGGGGACAATGGAATGAGCATGACAGATACTACACACTCCCTTTTACAAACTCTGCCAAGTGTACATACCCTATGTCACAACGATCTGAGACAAAGGCTGCCTATCCTGCACTTACACATCCAATGATGAAAATGCTATACTTTCTCCAAATAATCAAATCCAGTACTTAAGTACACACAGACAACTCTTCCTCATACCAGCCTAAGTCAGGGGTTGGCAACCTACAGCCTATGGGCCAGATTTGGCTCAGGATAGGACTGGATCCAGCCTGCAGCAGCTCAGGGAATCAGCAGTAGGCTCTAGTCAAATTGACGATCTTATTGCTTGCCACATCCAATGTATTCGTTGGTGCAGCGTAGCCAGCTTTCCTATGGTCCTAGCGCCGGCCCTTGTCTATCTATCCCCTTTGCAGAAACTGGATCGCCCGGGTTGGTTTCAGAGGTGCAGCCCGGGGGGGGTGGGGGGCAGCCAGGGCAGGGATGGGTCACAAGCAGTGGCAAAACACTGTTAACCCCGTGTAAGTCTTTTTTTGCTGCCAAATAAGAACATTACTTCTCCACTTGCCTGCTGCAGACACCAAACAACTGATTGCATTTTTTTTTTTTTTGGCAGGGCGGTAGGAATCCTTTCCATATTGAAGTCAAATGTCTCTTCCTTGGCCTGTATAATCCCAGTACTTATACACCTTTCCTCAAATTAAGCCATCTAGACCAGGGGTGTCAAACTGTCGCACGGCTAAAGGCTCTAAATTTGTCTGACCAGCTGGTCTACAGGCCAAACTAGGCCACCCCAGAAGCCAGCACTCAGGCCTGGTCCAGTGGGTCTCAGCATGCAGCACACAACCTAAGCTAGCCCCCTGTGCTGCATGCAGCAAGTACCCATCCCACTTCGGGGCTCACACTGCACAGGGGGCCAGCATAGGAGCTGCACTTCACCCTGCTGAACTAGCCCCCCCTACCCCACAGAGCACTGGCTCTGGGGCTGGCGTGGATCGGACCATACCGAAGCCAGCACATAGGGCCAATCTACCACGGAGCAGCCTGCAAGGTATGCCCCATGCCAGCTTCCCATGCAGTGCTTATGGCACCTGGTCCAGCCCATGTGCCACCTGAAGCACAAGATGCATGCTGCCTGTGGGCTGGATCAGCCATACATGCTGCAGGAGACACAGGGAGCGCATTGCATTCTGCAGCCTGTTGGGCCAGTTCTGTGCACTGGTTCCCACATGGCCCAATGCAGATCAGCACCAAACCCACACCCCTCCTCCAACTAAAATGTAGTGTGCAGAGTCAGTTTGAGAACCATGGGCTGGATCACATGATTACATGGGCCAAATCTGGCCTGCGGGATGTTTGGCACTCCTGATCTAAACTGATTTTTGTTGTTTCCTGGACTCTCTAATTTGTCCATATATTTCTTAAGTGTGGTGCCCCAAAATGACCACAGGATTCAAAGGGAAGTCTTGATAGTCCTGAAGACAGCAGAAGCATTACTTCCCATGACTTGCATTAAATACTCCTGTTAAGACTTTGCACTATGTCATTAGCTTTTACGCAATAATATCAGGCTGCTGAATTACTTTCAGTTCGAGGTCCAATGTACCCTCCAGATCTTGGTCTGCAATGCTGGAGCCTAGCCAAACATTTCCCATTGTGTATATGTGCATTTGATCATGCCTTCCCAAGTACAGGACTTCATAGTTGTGCTTACTGAAAAATGCATCCTACATATTTCAGGTTATTTTCCCAAGTTATCAAACATAATTTGAATCTTAATCTTGTCAGTATAAGTCTGAGGCTTGAATCTGTTCCCCAAAAATCTCCTCCCTGTTCTGCTAATGCACCCATATAACAATATATACATGAACTTTAAAATAAGCCAGTCCTATATTTGGTAAATCCAGTCTGAGGCTGCAAGCTTATATAATTTACTCACAAGAGAGAGAAATACCTGGTAGTCAAAGTGTATTCACGTTGGCTAATTCCTTACCAGATCTTGAAATGGTGAAGGGGCAATTTTAGATTTCTAAAGACAGAGAACTGGCTTCCTATCCCCCACCCCTTACAGTATTAAGAGACATGGCAGATTAATCTTCCAGAAGGGCTTTAGGTTAGGAGGAATCCAGTTTCCAATTTCTCATAGGAGGTTATTTATTACTGACTCCTAGCAAACTGAGCAGACCTGACTTTACTGTACTCACTACTGAAATATAATCTCTGTAGTTAACTACAGTTAAAGCAAAAGTGCCTGAAGACTTTTTTCAATAAAGGGAATTACACATGCCCTTTCTGGACAGAAAGCAGCAGCACAAGGATTGTGGCAGAAAGCATTCCAGCCATTTTCATGTTTGCCATCTTGGCTCATTGGTCTTCCATGCTAGGGAACTGCCAGTAGCCATGCAGGCCATAACAATCTACTATTTCCCTGCCCTATATTTAAAGTGGGGCCTACGTTCACAAGCAAAGAGCTCTTTTAGCTCCAGGGAAAAATAACCAACAGTTTGACTGGTCAGTTTCAAAGCCAAGAAACTGAATATTCAGGAGCCTGCAGTGTTGCATCATGTTAAGAACTTGACTCTTCGGCTGGATTAAGGAGGAACTGAATCTCTTGGGATCCGAGGGTGCCTAAACACATTCAGTGAGGCTGCTCTGATGTGCTGTAATTACAGCATGTGGGAGTAGGCTTGATTAATCGAGTCTGCTGGAGCATGGTAAATACCATACTCCAGCATTTTGTGCACCAGCCTCCCCAAGCCACTTCGGAGCAAGTTGAACTATCTTTAGTTAAGCTGACCCAGCCACCATTTTTAAGTGTGGGGATATTGATACATTAAGATGCTCTGGGCACTTTAATTAGACTCTACTTAAATTGCCCCCCCCCCCCCAACACACACACACACATTTCTGAAGCATGTGTATAAACCCCCTAAGAGATGGGCAGGCATGCCACCAACATCTGGAGCAACCAGACAGACACAAGGGCCCAATTAAGACTTCACTCTCCTGTAGCCGGATGACGGGCAGACCAGAAGCAGAAACACTTCACTGCCTTCACAGCAGCATTCCTGGCCTGCAGCACGCAGCTAAGACCCGAACCTCCAACTCAGCAAGCACAAGCACTGCCATTTCCTGGCTCAGGCCCCAGGTCCATTTTGCCCAGCCTCTGGTGGTACACAGGGGCAGGGAGCAGGTGCTGGCAGGAAGGATGAGCTGGGTCCGGCCAGTTAAGATTAAGCAGAGTAAAGCAGGCCTCCACTAAGGGGGTGAAAGCTGGGCCACTCCAACCCAAGGCTGGCCAAAGGCAGGTGCCAGACAGTGTTAGTGCAGCGGGCGCTTTCTCCAGGAGACGCTTTCTGGAGCCCCAGCAGAAGCGGTTCAACCAGTGCTTAACAGAATCGGTCCGACGGGACCGGGGGGTGGGAAGAACTAGCTGGGGCTGGTCCTGCTCTAAGCACAGTCTGGACTAGACGGGACCGCCTGAGGTCCCTCCCAGCCCTCATTTCCGATGACTAGAAGGCGGAGGGGCCGGGCATGTGGCCGCAGCACCACCACGGAGCCCCCCTCGGCAATGCCGCCCACCTGCTCGTCCTCGAAGATGACGCTGGCGGGGATCTCCTTGCGGATGATCTTGCCGAAAATGGTGTCGCCGCCGGGGCGTGCCGCCTGCGCCCTACTGATCTCGTCCGCCATCCTCCGCTCCCGCAGCGCAGCGCAGCCCCACCCCGCCCCACACTACTTTCGATTCCCACCCCCTCCCCTATTGGACCAGTCCCGCCCCCGTGACAGCAAGCCGCCGTCGCGATTGGTTCCCTCGCCTGCCCGTCGCCGATCTCTCCCTGCCCACTCCGCACTTTTTTGCAGCTGCTCATTGCAGTACCCTCCGGGCTGTCAGAGCCGGGGGGGGGGTGCTAGGAGCATGCGCAGGAGGCCTCACTTGTATGAACTATCCCCAGGGCTGCGTTCCCTGCTATCCCGGCTTACGGAGACACAGTACAGCCTCTGTGCACCCTTCTTCGGTATTTCCTCTCTTTTCTTGGCCACGTCAGTGGAGAGCCACTGGTGGTTCTGCTTCTATTCCAGCCCTCTACCCAGCGGTTCTCAGCCTTTTCAGGCAACTGCCAGCTCTTGCTTTTTGCTTTTCTCTGGCCCCAGAAAAGTAACCAAGCAGTTGTTTCTGGTGCAAAGCACCAGTTGTTTCTGGTGATCACATCAGAGGAGAAAGCAGACCTCTTTAACAGTTTCTTTGCCTCTATTTTCTTGCGCAGGGACTGGGACACCTCTACTGAGATTCAGGACGGCCTCGGGAGAAACTCTGCCAAGCCTAGGTCCAGGGAGGACCGGGTTAGAGCACTTCTGGAGGGGCTGGACGTGTTCAGATCAGCAGGTCCAGATGCTCTCCACCCCAGGGTGTTGAGAGAATTAGCAGGGGTTATCACCAAGCACTTGTGGTGCTCTGGCCAGGTGCCAGATGACTGGAAGAGGGCCATTGCGGTCCCCATCTTTAAAAAAAGGAAGAGGGAGGACCTGGGCAATTATAGGCCCGCTAGTCTTACTTCAATCCTGGGGAAGCTCTTTGAGAAGATTATCAAGGAGCACATCTGTGGTGGGCCAGCAGCAGGAATGATGCACAAGGGCAACCAGCATAGTTTCATTAGGGGCAGGTCCTGTCAGACCAACCTGATTGCCTTCTACGATCAGGTCACAAAATCACTGGATGCAGATGTTGAAGTGGATGTAGTCTTTCTGGACTTCAGGAAGGCCTTTGACACTGTCTCCCACCCCATTCTCATTAAAAAACTAGGTGACTGCAGCACTGATGCCTACACAGTCAGATGTATTGCAGATTGGCCGAGGGGTTGCACTCACGGTTCATGCCTCCCGATGGTATATCACCACAGCGACAAGCTGCTGCACCATACCTCATCACTACAGCAACGTAGCATCTCATGTAGATGTGGTCAGTGCTAATGTTGTGTGTTACCCCGTGGCACCCATGAAAGGATCTCAGGGTCATGGGAGACTGGTGCTTCCCAAGTCTGAGGTGGGCACCAGATCGCCAACTGGAGGGTCGGGGGGCATCGAGTCAGCAGCGAAACTGGAAACGCACTTCCACCAGCACTGCCAGTTTCGTGGCTGGACTTCCAGGGGCTGCACGGCCGATCTCATGGGGTGCATGTGCACCCCCTATATATCGCCAACGCTCAGGGTGCTGGGATACCCTGGCTGAGAATCATCACTTTAAGGCCCAGCTTGATA